ACCGCTCAGGCACCCCCTGCCCAATCTTCCCAGCAGACTTTGGCTCTGGAGGGTTTCAGACCCATCCTCACGTGATGGATCCCATGCCTCCAAGGAGAGCTCACCGGTGCGTTTGTGTTGTGGCAGTGCAAAGCAAAGAGGCACAAGCCCAGAGTTGTCAGGGTTCCTGTAGCAGCACTGAATGCTATTCCACGCACACTAATAGACAGTTGTAAATAATATGCATTCCTATATGCATTTCTGCTTTTTATAGTGCTAGGGACTCCTGTAGCACGTGACCTCAGCTAGACCAAAAGGCGCCCGGGGGATGATCACTCTCCAGCAACAGCACAGATTTTCTCTCAAAAATGTGAATATTGCACAAAAAGAGCAAAGCAGGAGGTTGAGGGAGAGAAAAGGTAATACGAGTTTATGTCTTTGCTTTTAATAGTCCATGGTGTCTTTTTCTTCGGGGAATTCATCTATTCACTTTTGAATCTGTTTTGATTTTAGACTTGTAGATGCTCCATGCATTCTGTGGCAAGGAATATCACAGCACACCCACAGACTCAAGGAGCAGCTTCCTTTGGTGTGCTTGTTATCCACTAGGATTAACTCTTGGGAAGTGGGCTGCTGCCACCCTTATGGAGCCACACATACAGAGCCCTGCAATTTGTCCTCCACTGGTGGAGTCAGTGGCTACCGGTTATTCAGAGGTAGAGTTTTTTGTATCAGGCATCTTTCATGCTGATCCAGGCAGCATGTCTTGGAGACAACACTGTCAAGCACATCACCAGCTGTGCTATTTTTGAGCTGAGGTGTCACGAAGAGGTCGTGTGCCCTGCTCTATCTGAAGTTGTACAAGTCACTTCAGCCACTTTCTATGGGAAACAGGCAGGTTTCAACCCTCATATAGGAACCCAAAGGCATGGCTGATAATGTGTTACAAAGGGCACAAAACCCCCCAGGAATGGGAGAAATAAGGGTACATGATGCTTAGGCCTTTGGGAAAGTGAAACAAGACAGCCAACATCCAAGTTTGTGTTCTGTGTTACCAGCACAGGGAGAACCCAGCAGTCCTAATTGCAACACACTGCCCTATCCATTCAACCCTCCTTCTCTTGGGGGCAAGAGAGAAAAATAAGGGAGATTTCTCTCCAGTTATTCCTGTAGGGTTCAGGATGCTCTACTGGAAAATCATGTTGGAGAGCGGGACATTTCTGGGAGGGAGGCATTTCTGATGTAACAAAATGGTTGAAAGAAGCATGGAGCCTTTTAAGAAGACACAGCAACTGAAGTAGAGGTGGTGCCCTTACCACAATATCAATAGGTTTGTTCTCCAGATACCCTGTAACTACCACCCTGCAGAGACATTCATATCTGTTCCAAGCAGACATAAAGCATGATGTCATATTAGCAGTATTTGTTCACTTTCCATAATGCATCAAACCAGAAAAGGTCTCACTCTTCTGTCTCTGGTAGCTACAGAAAATAGCCTTTTAGTTTCCGCTTAAATATGTTATTAGTTTGTACCCATGCAGCAAATTTGCATTTAATTTCTAGAAAAATTTTGACAGAGGCTACATTTTAAACCAGATGGCCACAGACACCTATTCTTATGCTGGTATTTGTAGCTTAAATATAAAAATGGATTTTGCAGCATCATATATATTGTATTTAGCTTTATTTTGTCCAATAGGCCAAGAGTGATCAAAACTCAGTCTTTTGTTCCAAAGCAATCAATGATTCCTAGTGGTGTGCTGCTTTTTGTCTCTTAGGAAGATATGTTGCAGAGAATCCCCTTGTGTTAGGATGCAGGATTTTCTAATGCCTGTTTGATTTAAAAATTTCACGGATACTTTGCACTGGCTACCTGAGCCTTCCAGAATGTGTCACTCCAATTAAATTGCTTCTTATTAATGCAACAAGGTGAGTGTTGACGAATGAACATGCTTCTTGCTCCAGTTAACATCCCTTTGCCACTTCTGGTCAGTGGTGTTGACTGTGTGGGTGCCATCCACCTCTGCAATCTTTGTCCTCAAGAAAATATGTACCATTAGTTATGTTTTCGTCTGCTACACTCAGACTTCATGTCTGCTGGGAGGAGATCCAGGTGTGCCTTTTTTGTTGTGGGAAGGAAACCCGCAAGGGTCATTAATTTGTGACTGGGGAGCTAGTTTCTGTTTACATCACTAACAGGGGTACACATCACGACTGCGGTCCACAAACACTCAAAGTCTTAAACCTCATGAAGTACGTGGGTTTATAGCTGCTGCTCTGAGGTGCATTTCACAGCATAGAATTGCTGTCATTGAAAACTCTTTGATCCCTGCTCTGAGTCTTCCTGTTCCAACAGGCTGCCTGTGTGCAGTTTCCTTATTTTCCATCCAGCCCCATGAGAATCTATTTTGTCATCATCACAATTATTTGTGAGGCTCTGCAGAGGTTTCTGGGTCAGGTTAAATCACTTTTCTCTCTGCAGTAGCCCAGCAGGATACCCAGGGCCCTCCCTCACATTCCCCCTAGAAATGAAAAGCGGATTCAGTGCTGCCCAGATGCTATTTGACAGTCCTCAGGACATTTTGTCCAATATAACTCCAGAGCAGCAGCAACCACCCCAAGTTCCTGGAAACTGAGCCAAATACTCCCCTGGCAAATGTTTTGTTCTGACTTAGATTTTTGGCCCATTACCCCCAGAAAGGAGTGAACCACAGAAACTAGTGGCTCAGAGAATCTAGTCTATCCCTAGTTACGGGCTGGGAGTCACCTACCTAAAAGCAGAAAGCAGGTTTCTGTTGCAATTCACTTTCTCCACACTGAGCAGTTGGAGTTGACATACCCTGATCTGGAGAAGCATTCCTTCTCCATCCAGCTCTCCCCATGGACCTAGGCAGGCAGGGGAGATGAGGCTGTCCTAGGGAAGGGGCTAAAAGCCCAATGCATGACTGTCTGCACTGCTTAAGGGCCATTGCTTAGGCCGGGTCTGTTAGTGAGGCCAAGGTCCTGGGGAGTGGCTGCAATCCCATTTTCTGTGTGCCCATCACCTGGGCAACACAGATTTGTTCATCACTTATTCATGATGTCAGAGCTTCTCTGTCCCATGGGGCGGCCACCTGCTCCTGCTCAGCACCTGAATATTTCAAACAGCTTGCTCGCCCCTCCTTCCCCTCTCTGCCACCCTGAGCCAGCCACCCTGCTCACTCCTCTCTCCAGCTCCTGCCTGGGCTCCTCACTTGCTTTCAGTAGTGTGGCTCCGCCAGGCCTTTTCCCAAATCACTCTGATGCAAGTGTGGAGAGACACAAGCTCTAATTCAGTCTGGCAGCCAGGAGGTTTAACTCTCCCGAGAGCAGAGCCGAGCTTGCATGAGTAATACCTCTGGCAGCATCGTGCAGCTTGCTAGGGACCAGCAGAGTTGGAGCACTGTTAAGAGGCAAGGACTAGGCTAGTGGGGGTGCAGGGCTGTCATGAGGGGCTGAGGTGAAGCAGGAAGAAACTCGAGCAGAATCAGTTCAAAAATGAAAGTTAACCTATCCTCCCTTCTCATGGCCATCAAGTCCAGTGTGTCGATGCTGAAGCCCAGGATGCAGCATTGGCAGCATCTGTCCTATGCTCTCTGGCAAGGTGAGCTGAGGGATGGTTGGGTGAGTTGAGGTTTGTGTTTTGTCTTGGATAGTCTCTGCCAGATGAACCGTGCTTAGAGAGTCATGAATAAATGATAGCCCAGCAATGGAGCACTGCCTTCCATGGCTATTCCATGGGGAGGGAGGAGCATTCTTCGTTAAAGTGGTGTGGCCAGACAGAGGTTATCAGAGCTTCTGGAAGCGAGTCTGTCTCTTCGCTAGCTATAAAGAGAGCCCCAGGTGACAAGATTTCTCACCTAGGGCACAGTTTCACCATCTATTTAAGCGTGGGTTTATTATCAGTTCTCCAAGACCATCTGCCATCCCCTTCCCATTCACAACTACATCTGCCATGTCCTTTGGGAGAGCTCCAAGCACACATACACACATAAATACATAGCAAGGCCTTATCAGCCATGCATTTGCCCAGATGCAAGCACAGAGCGTTGCTGCTGCAGCCACCGAGCTGATAGGAATTACACAAGAGGGATATAATTTAGAATGAAGTTTTGTTAAATATCTGGGGGTTTTGTAAGGTCAAGGATTTTTACTGCATCTTTATATCAATCACATTCTGTTTGTGGAAGTGAATGCTGTGGCTGAGAGCAGAGTGAGTTCAGTGTGATCCCCATTCAAAGAATTAATTAATCTTCCTTGTCTATCCTCTTGACATCCTACACATCATACACACACATACACAAAACAGAAGGAGGTAGAAACTGCCCTGTCTGCTGTGGGACTCTGAGCAACAGTGGCAATTTTCCCAGGAAGGGCATTAGCTGGGCAACTTGCCAACCACCCACCATGTGCAGACAAACCTGATCTGCTCTGGGTTGTGTCACCATATTGGCATGACGGCTTCCATACCTTACAGGAGTGCACAGCGGAAGGACAAGAGGCATCCAACATGGACTGCAAGGAGAAAATAATCCCTTACTGAAGAAGCAACCAGGTGCCTGGAGCAACATCCCTGGAGAGATTCAAAGTGACCCTGTGACTTCAGCCAGACTTACCAGGAGAGAGCAGCCAGATCTTTCTGGACTGACTGCCCCAGCAAATGAGTATCTGAGGAGGACCTGCTTTGCACTGCTCTGTTGGAAAGCTTGGTCTCGCTTCTGGGCATTTAATCTATATAAGTCATGTTCCCCCATTGTTAGGCCAGAAAGCGAAGTGACCCAGTTTGGTGCACTACAGAGCTGATTTGCTGCCAGATGTGTGGAACTACAGTCAGAGCAAAGAGTCTGTTGTCTTTTCTGCAGCTTCACTTGGGCCTCTGCTTCCATTGAAGAGCCCAGCTTTCAGGACTGAGCCCTCTCGGCTGGAGCCAGAGCCCGAGGCAGAGGTCCAGGTTGCTGCTTGGGGTGTCCCGTGACATCTCTGGTGTGGAAGAGTGCAGTGGGAGCTTCCTCAGGTGGGGATCTAGCACACTTTTTATGGGCTCAGCATTTCTGATTCTGGGGACAAGGGAAAAGGGCTGCATCCTCAGAGAACACGGCAGCCCAGTGCTCACATGGGGCCAAAGCTGAGCAGTGGACAGCACCAGTAGCACCAGTCATGTTACCTGGTGTAAATTATTGTGGCAAGAACTGCTAACAATTTCAGGTAACCTATGTTGCTTAAACGTGACAGAGGACCACAGCTGAAAATTAAGTATTATTTTCCCTCAGAGCAGACTGGGCATAACCTCCCTTTCTCCATCTCTTGCAGCTGCATTTCACATCACCCAGTTAACAGCTCAAAGAATAGAGAAGATGCTGGTGCCAGGCCAGGCTGCCACTGAGGTGGGTAGAGCTTGGGGTCATGAAGCCAAGTGCAGAGACCTGGGTTTCACTTCATAAATCAGAGGGCTGTGCTTGGGAACAGGACACTGTTAGGGACAGTACCGGGTTGCCTGGTGATTCCTTCCCATATCTAGGCTCTGGCAGTGCAGTGTGATGGGAAAGCCTTTCTGAGCCGAGTTGCTTGCCAGAGAGGTTATTTTGAGTAGTGCTGGGTGCCTTTGAGCAGTGTGTGTTGACACTGACCCCTAGTGGGAATAGATGCCCTTCTCTTTAGTTTTTCCCTGCAGTTTTAACCATTTTAAGCGACACATCTTAAGGGGGACTGGAGACAGCCCAGAATTAGAGCTTCGGCTTTAAAACCCTCAAAAGCAAATCAGAACATCAAGATTGGCCTCATATTTTATTTAAATATTTTTATCCCACTACTATTTCCTGCCAATACATTATATATAGATATTATATATATGCATGTGCATTTGTAGATGTATATCCTTTTGTATTTAAAGCCTCTGAAAATAATGAAAGTCCAAAACCCACATGGCCAGGCAGAAAAGCTTTTTATTAGGAAGACAGCATGAAAATGAGCCCAAGTCTTGCTGAATGAGAGACAGAAGGCAAATAATAGGGCAAAGTGGCCAAGTTCCTCTTTCAGGCTTTCCAGTCAAATTGTCTGAAGGGTTAATAGAAGCATGCCCAGCCAGAGGAGGGGTGTCAGGACATGGTACCTGAGCTGGGTATTAGTGGGTGTAGTTGAAAGAGTAGAGAGTGGCTGGCCATGGATGCCTGGGTGGCATAGCTGATGTAAATGGGGAGTGCCTGGTCTTCACAGCTCAGCTGCAGGAGACCATTGCAACATAGTCCCAGGAGAGCACTAGCCAGCTCAAGAAAGGTCAAGGCTCCCCTTAAGGAAGCTGCAAGATCACTACCTCCAGCTGAACTCACATCAGCAGCAGAGGAAGGCCACTTCCAAGGGCTGCTTGGTAGCCAGAGGTGAAGAAAGTTTGCAGTGGACTGGACTGTAGAGTCTGCAGTGGTGTATCTTGAATTGCCTCCCTGTAGAACTGGTCCTGGGTTTATTAGTTTGGGCTTTGTGCTTTGGCTTTGGCTGAATCACTTCTGGACATGTTCTAGCCCTGGAATCAGGATCCACACCTATGCTCCAACTGGAACACGACATCGCTAGATAAACAAGTGTGACTGCCACTTGATGCAAAGGTAAGCAGAAACTAGTTCACAGAGAAACGAGATCTTTGTGCATCACCACACAGGTCTGTGCTGATTTAACCAAAGTGGATTTCTCCTAATGCCTCATTTTACCCATACAAAAGTGTACAAGGAACCGTTCCATGATGGAGCTGCATCTCTAACAACATCTAGTATGTTATTAGAAAAAATGACAAAGGCATTTTAGAAGATAGTTGATGGCTAACCTAGGAGCAGTTGTGTATGGAAAGGTGGAAGAATAGAGATTCTGTGTGGGTGTCAGGAACGACAGCTACAGGTAGAGCTGGGATGCAGCCACCACCAGGGTGTGAGAGGGAGTGGCATGGATATATGGCCCAGAACCCCACCCTGCATTGGACAGATAGATGTGGGAGAAGCTCTTTTCCCTTAGTAATTGTAGTCTTGCAGCTAGGCAGTGCCAGGGACACAACTGGAGACACTGAAACAGATCCTGAGCGTGGAAAGAAAACTTATGACTGGAAGTTATTGATGCCAAAAGAGACATACCTGCCTCCTTCCTGCTGTCCTCACACCCCAAAACCTTTCTCCCTGCCTGGTCAGAGGCACTTTTCATGGACAGCTCTCCTGCAGCAGTCTGTGCTCACAGGCCCAGCAGCCACGGGGCAATGACGCAAACCCAAAGCAGCAGCTGCAGTGTGGGAAAGGGAAATCATTGGTGCTTTGCATGTGGTTTGTGCGAGCCCAACCAGTACCCATCACCAAGTTCTTCCCAGGTGAGCTTCCCTGCAGGAGATTGTTCCCCTCCTGCTGGGATGAACTGGAAAGATGGGCACCCTGCAGAGACGGAAAGTCACCTCAAGCAATAAAAGCAAAAAGTGAAATTGATTTTAAAGTATCAGCTGTGTTCAGAGCTATCTAGGTTGTCCTTTGAGGAAAGCCCACTGCTTGGGACACTGGAAAGTAACTAGATGATGTCTATGCAGATCCGTGAGGAACACTACTGGATAGTTTTGGCTTTAGAAGGAGAGCACTGAAATGCAGGCTGGTCAACCATTCACAGGCAGTGAGCTGGGCCTTCATTTGACTTCTATTTTCTGCTTTTATTTCTGTGTCTTGGCTGCTCTTGCGTGAGCCCTGGCAGCCACTCTGGGCTTTGGGCTTTCTATTTGCAATACAGAAAGGTGGTGGGAAGGGGCTGGACCAAAAGGCTTGTATAGCCAACTGCAGTGACCTCCCTTTGCCTCTACAGGCAAGACAGATGAGAAAGTGTCTTGGTGGGTGAAACGGTTTAATCCATGCACGTGGGAAAAGCAAACTTCTTGTTCACACCTATCTCTGCTACCAGTAAGTGACATCCACCATATCGTTTCCCACAGAGCCTGCGGCTTCAGTCAGCACCTGCACATGCAACAGCATCCTCACCCGCACACCGCCTAGTTTGATGAGGTCCCTCTTCCACCCCTGGCAAACCTGCCCGCTATTTAAAGAACCCAAGCCAACAGGGCAGGGGCAGGAGGCAGGCCCAGGACACACCGGCACGTACTGCCCGGCTTCGGGAAGTGCAGCGTGGCCACCTCCCTCTCCCGCGCGCCCCGGCCCGCCCTTCCGTGCCCACGCGTTCCGTGCCCACGGGTCGGTTTCTCCCTCTTGCAGCCTCTGCGCCCTCCCTGGACAAAGCGGGCGGGGCGAGACAGCCTCTCGTCGTGCCGGGAGGTGCCGGGGCAGCGCGGCGGGGCGGCGGCGAGGGGAATCCCGGGCAGGCGGGGCCGGGCGCGGCTGAGTCAGTGCGGGCAGGGGAAGGAGGAGGAGAAGGAGGAGGAGGAGGTGGAGCTACGGCGCCTTGGACTGTGCGCCGGCCGCCACTCGATGGTTTTCCGGCCATGAGCCCCCCGGCGTCAGGAGCGGGGCCGGGACCGGGACCCGGGCCGGGGCAGGCGGACGGCGGGCACTGAGCCATGTCGCGGGCGGCGGGCGGCGAGTGCCGCAAGGAAGCGGCGGCCTGGGAGGGAGAGGACGGGCAGTGCGACTCGGGCATCGAGTCGCTGCGCTCGCTGCCGGGCGGCAAGGAGACCCCCGCCGCCCCCGAGGCCGCCCCTGAGACCCTCACCGAGACCCTCGCCGAGACCACCGCCGCCGCCGAGGAGCGGCTGGACTCCAGCTACGGCTCCGGCGCCCTTCCTGAGGCTCTGCCCGGGCTGCCGGGCGTTCCGGGGAGCCGTCCCGAGGAGCCGTCGCCGCCGGCCGAGGGGCTCAGCCGGCAGCAGCTGGACGCGCTCACCTACCTTTCGGAGGACGGAGACACGTGAGTGACCCCCGGGGGAGCTACGAGTGCCGGCTCCCCCCAGCCCCGGGGCCTGGCCCCTCGCAGCCGGCTGGCGGCGGGGAGCCGGTGCCTAGAGATAAGCCAGGCAGAATCTGCCGTGCTCCTCATCCCTCCCCCGAGGAGCATCCGTTCAGCCGGGCTGTGGGTGACTCCCCAGATCCCTGCCCTGAGAGCCTCCCGCCATGCCTTGCTACGCATGGATGCTTGGCACCCCGCTGTAGGTTTGCGTTGGTGATCCCCTCACCCGCCTGAGGGGCATCTGAGCCGAGTCCTACAGAGTGAGCAGAGAAAGATGTACCCCAGCTTACATGGCACAGAATGGACCCACCTTAGGAAGCTAGCTTCCGCTTGCTATGGGGCTGCTGGCAACTAGAAGAGCAGAGGGAGCAAATCAAGCCCCTCACTGGCTCTTACCCAGAGAATTCAATGTTTCCTCCCCAGTAAGGCTTGGCTGCATGAGATGGCATGTAAGCAAGATCTGAAACAAGATTGGCTATGCAAGGCAAGACCTTGGGATGGCTGTGTTAGATGCTGCTCAACCCAGCAACCCAAGAACAGTTTGTTCTCAGGTGGGAATTGCCTTGCTTTGCCAACCTGCTGCCAGAGCCGCAGCTTTTGGCACAGTTGAGATGCACATCCCAGTATGGGGCTGCCCTCGTGAGCCTCTGTGACGGAGACAAGTGTTTCTCTTAATGAGGGGGGGCTTCCCATATCCGTAATGCCCTCTCAAGCACAAAGGCATCATGCCAGAGTTATTTGGTTTGGCTTCTGGTAATTGCCTTCACCTAAACACAGCGTTTTTTCCCGTTGTACATTCCCTCGACGGAAGGTTGTCATCATGAGTGTACACACAGAGTATGAGTGAAAGTTCTCACAGTCGAGGGCAAAGCTTTGCCCCAAACCCAGGCTGGAGTTTAATACTGAGTAATGGTGCAAGAGGAAGAGAAACTAAGAGGCACTGATATGAGCAAGGAAATGTCTTCAGTAGTGGCAGCAAGAAGGCTCTGTCCTTGCCTGGCAGACCACATCTGGATTGAAGCTGAAGATGGGCTGGGAGACAGCCTGTGTGTTTACTTCCCAGTTAGGAAGGAGTCTGTGCTTTTGCTAATTAGTTCATTAATGCTTACTGTGGGATCTGCTCTGAGGATTGGCTGGAAGTCTCATGGCATGCAAGGTTAGACTAAACCCAACCTCCCACATTCCCCAGCCAGACTTTCTAGTCCCGTCCTATCTATGGGCTCGTTCTGGGGCTCCTCAGCATAGAGCAGCTGCACTAGTTTTCCCAGCTCTGACGCTAGAGCCAAGGTGCCCACTGAGAGAGCCACGGGTCTTTTCATCAGAGCTGTGGAAGTAAGGCTTCAGAAAGCCCCCCGGGCTTGTCTATCATGGTGTACCCAGGGCTCCTCACTCACTGTTTTTTTAGTGAGCCCCGTAGATGCAGCTGCAATGCACATGGAGATGCTTTTACTGCTTGGGGCTATCTTGTTTGGGAGCTGAGCCCTTTGCCTGTCAGACTTGCTTGGAGAGACCTAATGCAAACATCTTATTAACTAGGGAAACATTAATCAGTGGTGTCTTGGTTTCTGTAGGCAGGAGAGGCTCTCGGAGAGGTCCCCAAACGGTTGCCGTTACTCTTCTGTTTTCTCTCACTCACAGAGCAGTTCAGAACAGGAAATCTGTAAAAAGTGAGGGTGGGAGCAAAACATCTGCTGGTGGTACAGCTCATACAGCTCCAGACTGGCCGTGTCCACACAGGAGATTGCTTTCCTGGGATCTGCTTCCATCTCTGGGGAAAAAACCAAACCTATTCTTGTGGTTAGAATGGTGAGGCTGTGGTGAGGCTCTGCTATTCTTGTCTCTCCTTCTGACCCTGTGGTAGAGGTAGGTGGCATTTATATTTAGAAGTGCTGAACATCCTCAACTCAGGTCGATGCAACTGGGAACTGTGAGCACCCAGCGACTCATTGAACTGCCGCTGTTATTGTCTGTGAAAACAGTCAGGGCTGATAGTAAAGTCTATGGAGCAATTGCTCATCCAGTGACAGAAGGTCCCCAGAGGGAAGGGATCAGATGGGCACAGGTTACATCCCTTTCATCTGGCCCATCGACTTCTTTTCTTCTTTTCATCTCTGTCAGCAGCACATTTCCTTGTGTGCTTTTTTTTGTCTGCCACAAAACAGCTCCAGGCAGAGAATTAAAATCATACTGTCATTATATTTCAGAAGACTTAGGCAACAACACTTTACTGTAATTGTAATTCTGAAAATACAAAAAGTTCAGGGGTTTTGGCTAAGTAGTTCCTGTTTCCCCAGATGCCCTGGCTGGTACCAAGGGGAGAGGAGCACTGGGCTTGCACAAAGGGAGCTGGCAAAAGTCTTGGCTCTCCATCTGACAGAAATCTTCATTATCCATAGCTCACTCAGGCTCACCCATCTGTGCCATCCTGAGGTGTGCCTGTGTTTGTCTGTCTGGCCCTTGTGGGGGAAGTACAGGAGGTGGAAGCAGAGGTAAGGAACGTGTGCTTGGGTGGTTGGAGCGTCAGCAGGATCCTCCCTGGCTACCTCCCTGCCCGCCTTCATGGGAGAGGAGCGTCAACCCAGATGGGATGAAGCAATGAGCCTAAAACTGGCTCTTTCTGTGCTCAGAATTAGGAGTCTAGCTTTGGCAAGAAGGAAGTGGCCAAGAGGGAAGAAGGGGGTGTGATGGTCAGTGAAATATGTGGGTGCTGTCTTCCAAGAATTATTTGCCCAGATATTGTCCCCCCCATGACTCCTCAGTAGCACTGGCAGCCCCTCCACCTCCGGGAAGTCAGAGCTGCAGTAATCGGTCACAGGGACATCAGTCCTCTAGAGAGAGTGGCTGAGCTGACAGGGCGGCAGAGGTCAAGGATGAGGAATGGGGCAGAAGATGGTAGGAGCACTTAGGGCAGTGATATGTATCTTGCTTATTCCGTGGCCAGATAGAGAACAAACCCTGTGCACTCAAGCTCAAATGGTCTCCTCCAAGCATCCGTCTTTTCCTTGTGACCCAATACTCCTCCAAGTATCCATCTCTTCCATGTAAACAAACTCTTTTTCTGCTGAATTGGGTCCCAATGGGACTGCTCTACATGGAAGTGAAGAGAGAGGCTTTCCAGCTGTAGACATGGCTAGCTCTGAGCAGGCTTCAGGCAGCTCCAACCTCTGAACCACCTCAACCTTTTTTAGGATTCACTAAGGAAACGCCCTCTTTCCCAGCCTCAACAGGCAGATGCACAAGTCCAGCATCCTGGAAAAGGGCTGCCTGTTGGACCAACACCTTCAAGGTGAAATGGGGTGTGATGGGATCACCTGTTGTGTTCCAGCACAAGGGAAAACCTCCCTGGTTGGGCTTATGTCAGCCTCTGCCAGCTCTGGAGAGGCAGAGTTGATTCATCGGTGTGTGAAATTAAGCGGAGTTTCCTCTCTCTAGGACTATCTTAAACTTAAAAATGTGTTTTCCTTGGTGCCCATGCTGGTCCTTGGGCCACACGCCAATTTATGCCATTGGTACCTGATGCTGCGGTGATGGAAAGGCTGGGGGCTGCGCCCCCACAGGAGGGTGACTTTCTTCTGCACGGGGCTCTGTATGCAAAGCAGCGCAGTACCTCTGTGGGGGTGAAGGTCAGGGGACCCCAGCTCAATCACGGGAGAGAGACCAGAGCCTCCTTCAGATGGAAAATGGGACCGAGTGGTTTTGGTCGGGCACATGTTTCTTGGAGGGAGGGGAGCAGAGGAAGCTTGACTTCCTCCTTCCACCAGAGACAAGTGCTGCTCTGTCTGCTGATAAGAAATCACGTGCCAGTGACTCGCGGGCTCAGATGCCTTAACAAGGGCTTGGGGACAGTTAATCGAGTAAAATTGGGTCCCCACGGGAGGTGATGTTCTGAGCTCTTCTCCACATGATGGTAGCGAAGGGGCCTTCTCTGCTGACCCCTTACCTGCTTGGGTAGCCATTGAGCACGAAGGCTCATCTTGAGGGGCCACTTCTAACCATACACCAGCGTGTGCCAGTCTTAACCCTCCCAGCTCATGGAGCCCTGTGCCAGAGATCTTCCCTGAGCAGGGGAATAGAGGTTGTCCCCATTCAGGCTGTCTGCTCCAGTGTGGCTGCTTGCTCGGTGCTTCCCCTGCCGAGCAGGGTTGTTGCTGAACCCCTGTAGCCCTGGATCCCAGTGTGTGTAAGTGGGGGAATGCTCAGTGTGTGATAACAAGGGGTAATTACTGTGAAAGAAGGAAAAAGAAGCAGAGGACTGGAGAGACTCAGGATTAAAGAAGTCCAATGCAGAGAGTGCACCTGGTTGCTGGTCAGGCTGGGAGTCCCCCTGCTTGTCTGGGCTGGGCTGTTGCTGGCTGCCCAGCAGTGAGGTGGCCATAGTTAATGGGAAGTGGGGATGCTCTTGGTTTTACCAGAGGGGCTTTGGAAAGAAACCTCCTTCCTTGATCGTCAGGATTCAAGTCCATTCAAGTCCATCCCTAGTTGCTTCCTAGCATGCTACCATTGTGGAGCAGAAAAGAAAGTGAGTCCTAACATGGGTCTGGCAGGAGGGACAAGAGAACTTCCTGTGTCCAGCTCCCTGTCCCTGGATTCTTGGCTCTTCCTCTGTGTGTGCTCAGGAGTTTGGTAAACAGGGGAGGGCTTGATGTTCCTCCAAGCAAGGGCAGAAAGCTCTGGAGCATCCCACAGGATGCCCCAGAAGTTGCTGGCTGCCACAGGGGTCGCACACATACAGCCTTGGCGTAAAGTGGGTAAGTCCTGGCAGCCTTCTGAGACTGTGCATGCAAGAAGAGGTTTTTTCTCTGTTTGGATGACTTCAGCCTGGCCTGGAGGAAGTTTCTTCAGACTTTCCACCTGCCTAGGTTTGCCTTGGAGCTAAGGGGAGACACAGCACAGGGGAAGGGAAAGAATGGCTGGAAATTTCCATGTCCCGGGATGCAGAAGCCTGATGCCTGGCTGTAACA